CAGGTCGCTTGCTAGTGATAACTAAAAGGTTTATTGTTGATTGACTCTTGAAACTCTTAAGATCAATACGACTCCCACTGAGTTCTTGACATATGAGTTTTCTCTCAAAAAACATTCTTTGATGAGCTAAAACAAATATTTAAAAGTTCGCGTGGATTCAAGAAAACACTTCATAGAATAGGCCTCAGTTTATCTTTTGTTTCTCGATTAACGAAAAACATCACAACTCCAGTTCTATATATGCTAGAGTAAGAACACATTTTAAACTCCACATATTACGAGGTGTTTTCAACCTTCTTAGTTTGAAAAATATATTCAAGAAATGATTCATAGTTACTAGAGCGTGGCTCTACAACTTGACTTGGAATCAAGTATGAAACATCTCTTGATTGAACTATTTCCAACAAAATTTGATTCTATGTCTTAGTCATACAACTGCACTAAGATGTTCTTCGAGGATCAATTGTTATCTAAATCCACAATCACTACGATGATCATAAAACATGATACTAAATCATTCTCCTTTCTTATCAGATTGGAGAATCTTTTGTCTTTCTGCCTAGTAGATTCTTCTTATTCGTTATGCTACTCTTTGAATCTTTTCAAAGTATTAGAATTATGCTTAATCTTATAAGCGCAACCATATTTACTTAAACATCAGAAAATCATGACGAATAAAGTTATCGTCCTTTGTGGTGGATTTGAATAGTCCATATGAACATGTACCGGATCCATTAGTCCTTCACTTAGACTCACATAAACATATGATCAATGAATTAGTTATAATTTTCCAATGAACAAAACTCTCATATACTATACAATGTGACCAAGTATCTGTCCATTTGGTGATGAGATTTCTTTTCACTTGGTCAATTATGAAAATACCACATGAGATATCATAAGAATCAAATCCACAATTAATATTACTAATATTGGAAACATAACCAATACATTCATAAATGTCATTGCAAGGAAATATAAATAAGGCAACCAGATAAACTAAACTTTCACTTTTATTGAAAATAAACGGAAAATTGAAACTTGTCCTTACAACGCATAAAATGAAAAACCAAATTTCTAGACATCTCAAAAGAGTAATATCAATCTATTAAATTATCCTAACTCCTTAGTAGTAGCTCCAAATTCTGATCATCGAACCATGTGACCAAAGTCCATTTCCCACGATCATATTTAGCTCACTCTGCTTAAGCTTCCTTCTTTATCTTATATCCTGCAATAACATCAAATGAGATCATCACATAATGTATTAAGAGTCTATGAATAGGAACTTGAAAAAATAATGGAGTTAGATAATGTATGTACCTGAAGTAGAGTTATTCGAACTGACTTTACCATCTTTGAGATCTTTCATTTACTTAGGGCAGCTCCGCAACCAATGTCCCTCAATTGGCAGTGAAAACAAATGGACTCTTTGGGCTTAACACATGGGATGATCTCGGAACGAGCCTTTCTCTTTACCATACGATCAAACTGTTTGACCTTGGTTGATCATTTTCCATTAGGAAGAGAATTTTTTTTCGAACCACCAATGTAACATCCCGAAAAGAGGTATAGTTCTCTGACCTTAATCTTTTGTGTATTTGTCAAGACTAGTCCTTTTTGAGAAAAGGTGGAAATTTAGTACGCAGGGCGTACGCATGGGTACATGCAGCGTACTCATGCACTTTGCATGATCGCGGAGGCCACCTAGTATGCCAGGCGTACTAGGCTCAGAGTGAAACCCTAATGCCCTCTTGTGCCCCTATTTAAGGAACATGATGGCCTCATTTACAGCCACCATTTCCCGCCTCCAACCTTCCCCAAACCCTAAATTCGTGTTCGTTGCTTGTGTGAGTGTTTGTGGCTTATTCAAGCGTTCTTGTGAAGCTTTTGGTGAAGAAGGGGTCTTGAAGGACGGATAGTTTGTGCTTCTAGCTCTTGGATCTGAACTATACTCTTGTTATTGCATCTTCCAGAGGTATCAAGTTCGAAACTTGCTCATTGTTGTGATAGTTCATGTTTTGGGTCCATTTTTAGGGTTTTATGTCCCATTTTTGGAGCTTTGTGAGTTTGATGAACTCCAGAGTATAATTCTTGTCCTTTTAGGTGTTTTTGTTTGTCTAGATTCATAAAAATGAGAGTTTGGTCGTCTAAATCTCTCCATGCATGATTTATATGGACTTTTATGTTAAGAATGTTAGAGTTTGTGAGTTTGGGACTTGTTCAACCATGCTAAGGCTTAAAGTCCACGACTTTATGAAGTAATAGACCTTATTCAAATCAGATCTGTAGTTGTAGCATTTGTGTTAACGGATTAAGACCAAATGAAGTGAGTAATGGAAGTCTGGGGAGTACGCCGTTCGTACTCCCAACTACGCGCAACGTAGTGCTGAGACCCCCGATGCATGCATGGATGATTGAACGCCTAACGTAGAGGGTTGCACGCCCAGCGTACTCGTTGGGTTTTGACTTTCGTTGACTTTTGAGCTTTTGGCCAAATTGTGGACCTTTGATCAGGGGGGGGGGGCAAAATGGTATTTTTACCCCTCTGAGATTTTGTAGAGACTCGGTCTAGCATTCGTAGGCTATTACTATGAATTATTAATTAGAGTTGAATGTGATATAACTAGGCGGAGTCTAGATCGGTAGTTCGAGTGCGAGATTGATTGCTTTCCAGCGAGAGGTGAGTCTTCTCATTATACTTACCCGTGTGGTAACTTTTGTGTGATTAGAGGGTCTTATTCATGTTATGGACCGGAGGGTCTTAATTGTATTACTGACCGGAGGTTCTTATCTGTTTATGTGTTATTTTGCATTTTGCCTTTGTGACATAGGTTATTATATTATTCTGTGTATCTGTTGAGCTATGACCGGAGGGTCCACATCGAGACGTGAGACCAGAGGGTCTTACTGAGACACATGACCGGAGGGTCCTTATCAGTTGTAGCCACGAGAGGCTAATTATTTGTGTATATGGTATTTTAGGGAACTCACTAAGCTTTGTGCTTATAGTGTTGATTAAATGTGTTTTAGGTACATCACATGATCGCGGGAAGGCATCGACATGATTCTACACACAACTTGATGATTAGGGTTTATGTAGATTTTAGGATACTTGACTATGTTTTAAGATATTTTGTGTTGACAATTACATTTTAGCATGGGTTGATGCTATGAACTATGTTTTTGTGAGATTTAAAAATGAAAAAAAATTGTTTGAAATTTTGAGTTGTTACAACCAACGTCGCCATCACCAATATCCATGGAAACCTTGGAATGAGAGCCTATAAGCAACTCTACTTCAGATGTGATTTCAAGCATTTCTGCTTCAACAACTATCAACATTTGGGTTAGATTAATTAGGGTCACATTGAGATTCCTCATATGGAAGTTTTCAACAAATTGACCATATGACTTAGGAAGCGAGAGTAGAACCAAATCAATGACTTGCTCCCTTGGGAAAATGACACCCATTCTATCCAACTTGTCAATGTATGATTTCATTTATAGAATATGCGCACACACCGAATTTCCATCTTGATGTCTACATTGTAACACCCCAAAATTTTCAAACTTTTTCAAACTTTAAAATGCTATGGTTTTAAAAACATTTGGGTGTTAACCCACATTTAACAAAAAGCGGTCCCATAAAAACATTTACAAATTTAAAATATTCGGTGTTACCATTAAGCATCAATATAACCATAGCAAGCAAATAAGAATTACATCAATACAATTATCAAGGAACTTGACAAGTTCCACTCCATTCTCTATCACTTGACTTCGAACTTCCACCTACCATTCTCTCTCCTTAAGTGTAACCTGAGATACATGACATTAAAAAGAGATACGTAAGAAAATAATGTCTCGTGAGCTACGTGGGTTTGTGACCCAAAACATTTATCACATTTTCATCAAAAATGTTTCATCTTTGCAAAACATAGTTTTAGATCATAAATCAGTTTCAAGCATGTTCAAGGAAAACTCGTTTCGTACACATCATAAATATCATTTAATTTCATTTCATTTCAAAAGACTTTTTTCTATATTCCATTTTATTTTATCATTAAGGGTTAATTCTGGTTTAAGTTGCAAGTAAAACGAACTTTGGAATGGCAGAATCTGGAACACGTATTCCGAATTTTTGTGTGTGGAACCCATATATATAGCACCGAGCTACAATATTAGGCTTGAGTCGTGTATTTTGGTCTGGAATGACGCATTCCGGACCGAATAGTCATTTTGCAAAAAAAGTTATTATTATTCAAATAACATTACAAAGTGGTTAGTTTACTTAATTTTCATAATTTTTATTTAACATGATAAAAAGAATAACAATTTATATATTTTTTTTGAAAATTTCATTTTATTTCTCCAATAACGGATATCATATCTTATAGTATATAAATTATAAATAATGGACTTTTATCCAACTACATATAACTTTATGAGAGGTTACCTATCAAATTGGTTTCACCTAAATTTTGTGAAAATCTTGAAAAAGAACTTAGAGTATGTTTGGCTAAGCTTAAAAAAGTAGTTTTCTTTTTTAATCTTATTAACGATTTCACACTTGTATAAGTTAAAATGAATGTTTGGATAAACAATTTTTTAAAAACAATTGGTGTGTGATCAAAGATAAATCATTTTTGATAAGTTAGTATCCCCTGACTTACCAAAACTCATTGTGATTTATAGCTATATACATATCTATTTTTTTTTTTGGCATTTTGCCAAACACAAAAAAATGTTTATTATCTTATAGCATTTTGACACCATATAAGGTAATAGGCTAAAAAAAACACTTGTTATTTCAAATAAGTCCTCCCTAACACCCCCTTAATTGGAAATTAAGGCAAATTTGTATTTCTCTTTATTTTAATTTGTATTAACGTTTTTAAATGCAAGGGACTGAACTTAAAATTTATTAAACAACAGGGGTGTGGATGGCAATTACTCATTCAAAAAGCTCACGGTTAGATTAAAGTCGGACAAGCGAAACAAAATCGACATACATTCCACCATTTTCCCCTGTTTGAAAGTCTGAATTGAAAGAAATCAAAATATATGTAATTAAAGCAGAGAGTAAACGAATTGGCGTGAAAGAAATTTGAAATTTACTTTCCCATTTTGTTTTATTCAAGCATGTTAATTGCTCAGGATCTCGCGCAATACAAAACCCCTCCAATTTGTCTTGTGTCCTGAGATTTAGGGTTTTTACAAAAATCTTGAATCCTTTTTGCGCTTACTTATTGATTGGCAGTGGGCTACTGACACACACAAAGACAGATATTTAAGAGTTTGAGGGGTTTTTATCCGAGTGATTGTACGGATGACAGTGATGGATGGCAGGAGGATAACGGCGAATCCACGTCCGTCTAGTGGCCGGCGGGTGGTTGCGAGGAAGCGGCCGCGTGGAGGTGTTGATGGGTTTGTTAATAGCGTTAAGAAGCTTCAGAGGAGAGAGATATGTTCGAAAAGGGGACGTGCTTTTAGTATGTGTGATGCTCAGGAGAGGTTCAGAAATATTCGATTACAGGTTATTTCTAGGTTTATATATCATTTATGTCTTTATTAGTCGTTTTGTTTTAAGTTATGCTTTTTACGATTTGTTGCATCCCTATATCGATTATACTGCACAACGTTTCAGAGAGAATAGTTAATTCGAATTATAGAAGTGAAGCTTCCCACTCAACATAAGAATGAATTTAAGTTGGTTTAAAGGAATATCTAAAATTAGTGTTTTCATGTGTAGATTAGCTTGTTCGAACCCTACTTTTAATCTTGTATTAGCATTTCTTGTTGGTGTAAGCTACATGTATTGAATCCAAAATACTTTCTAACATTCCGATAAGCTCTATTATGTATTGATTATGGGCTTTGTACTTAAAGATAACAGCATATCAGTATCCACAATCTTTTTATCTGATTGATAATTGCTTCAGGAGGAGTATGACACCCATGATCCCAAGGGACACTGTCCTACAGTTTTGCCATTTCTTAAGAAGAGGTCAAAGATTATTGAGATTGTAGCTGCTCATGATATAGTATTTGCTCTTGCACAATCAGGAGTTTGTGCAGCATTCAACAGAGGTATAGTCAAGAAGATAATCAGATACAAATGAACTTCTTACATTAAAAAAAATATCTGAAAGACATGCTCTACTTATCTGATGCAGAAACTAACAAGAGAATATGCTTTCTGAATGTTACTCCTGATGAGGTTATAAGAAGCCTGTTCTACAATAAGAACAATGATTCACTCATTACAGTTTCAGTGTATGCTTCAGACAGCTTTAGTTCCTTGAAATGCAGAACGACAAGGATTGAGTATGTATCTATAATCTTTCCAAAATCTTCTTTACTGGAAGTTTACATATCATGCTTATAATGTTGTTAGATACATAAGGAGAGGTCAACCGGATGCTGGTTTTGCTCTTTTTGAATCAGAATCTTTGAAATGGCCTGGATTTGTAGAGTTTGATGATGTAAATGGGAAGGTACTCACGTTCTCAGCACAAGATAGGTAAAATCTTGTTTTTTTTTTTTTTTTTTTTTTTAATATTCTTACTTGCATGTTATTGTGTCCGATGTTCATTCATTGTTTTGTAATTTTTTTTCAGCATTTACAAGGTGTTCGACCTAAAAAACTATATGATGTTGTATTCCATATCAGATAAAAATGTACAAGAGATCAAAATAAGGTAAAGATCCCCCCTTTTTCCCAAAAATATATATATATATATATATATATATATATATATATATATATATATATATATATGAATGGTGAATGTCATCAGTTTTCTGACTTTTTAATTTTTAATTTTTTGGAAACAGCCCTGGAATCATGTTGTTGATATTTAACAAATCCAGTGGCCATGTCCCTTTAAAGATCCTCTCTATTGAAGATGGAACTGTTTTAAAATCTTTCAACCATCTTCTTCATCGACATAAGAAGGTGGATTTTATCGAACAGTTCAATGAAAAGCTTCTTGTAAAGCAAGAGAATGAGAATCTACAGATTCTTGATGTAAGTACTAGTCTCCTCATTTCCATTTAGGTGTTTATTAAATCTTCCATTTAGAACATTGAGATTCTAAACCTAATTATGTTTCAATGTGAAAATAGGTACGAACTTCTGAGCTAATAGAAGTTAGCAGGACAGAATTCATGACTCCATCAGCATTCATCTTTCTGTATGAGAATCAGTTATTCCTGACATTCAGAAACAGAACAGTTGCAGTCTGGAATTTCAGAGGGGAACTTGTGACTTCATTTGAAGATCATTTGTTATGGCATCCAGACTGCAACACCAACAACATTTACATCACAAGTGATCAGGATCTCATCATTTCATATTGCAAAGCCGATTCAGATGATCCATTAACTGAAGGAAATGGTAAATAATAATAACTTCTTGTTATTTGTTTTTTGTTATTTGTTATTCTACTTTCAGATCATTACTTATTATTTATGGCATTTTATGATGCACAGCAGGTTCCATAAATATCAGCAATATTCTGACTGGGAAATGTCTGGCTAAAGTGAAGGCATTGAATAATGTTGTGATGGATGAATGCAGTTGCAGTGATAGTGATAGTGATAGAAGAAGATGCAAGTGCAAATCAAGGAATAGAAGGATTGAAGCTTCAAGGACTACAGAAGCTCTGGAGGATATTACTGCTCTTTTCTATGATGAAGATCGTAGTGAGATATATACTGGGAATAGGCTTGGTTTGATACATGTGTGGTCTAATTGAAATTAAATCCTTTTTTTTTTCACTTGTAGTTAATGATATATTATATTATATAATATGTTGTGTGATATTGAAATGATTGGTAAAAAAACTGGATGTTTTTTGTTTACATGTGTTAGGTGGTGGGAGTTGATAATGGTTAAATTCTGTGTGCATCATTATGAGGTGGGGGCTTAGGTTTGGTTATTTGTATCATATAATGCTTTTAACGTCCAAGGTTTTGACCCACCTGACCCACCGGTGGTGGTGGTGGTGGTGGTGTTGGGTGGTGGTGGGGTTGTGAGTTCAATTTGGTAAAAACACAATAAAAGAGATAGAAAATGTGGAGGTGTCAGAGTTACAGCTAAGGAGCAACATGGGCTGTGGAAGTGTGTGGCCTGAGCTGATGCCTGGTGGGCCTTCACCTTGACCCTTGCCCAACTACCCATGTTCCCTCTTTGACACTTTCAATTTTTTTTTTTTTTAATAAATTTGTTGGTAATTATGTTATGGTATTAACATAAGCCTTTAAGTAGTTGCCCTAGCATTCACTTGTTAGAATCATGTTCCATGTGATAACAGTTGTATGTTTATTTACTCACTTTTCATTCTTGTAGTAACTTTTGTTATTTTTTTTGTTTTGTTTTAGGTTAAATTTGGTGCAAGTGCATCTCCAATTAAGTTTCATTTTAAGTGTAGAAAATCGGGTAAAACATCTCAAACCCCCCCTATTTTTACAACAAAAATAGTGTTATAGATGGTGTTACTGTATATCTGGAGTCTTTTCTTTTTATTTACATAAAATATTATATTGAACTTTTACTTGACATATTTGATATTTCAAGTTAAAGTTTATATATACTTAGTTTATTTAATTTGTTTTAGTTTTGAGTTAATTTAAGGAAAATATCTAGAAAAGGCCAATTGTTTTAGGAAAATTAACTATTAAGTCAAGAAGTTATATATATATATATATATATATATATATATATATATATATATATATATATATATATATTACCTATTTATGTATTTTTTTACTTCAAGTTTCATTATAATCTAACTATTAGACTTTGTAAATGAAGAAAAAAAAATATCAGAGTACTTCAAAACAAACATTTTTTTTAAAGACAATCATAATCAACGCCATTTTTGCAGGTGAATTTTTCTTTTTTCTTGAATTCAGTTTGTAGATGAACAAAGTTTATGAATATTTTTGTCGTTAATAATTTATTATGAGAAAAGTATGAATGAATTATAGTCAATCATTTGTATTTTTCGGATTTAATCAAATAAATAAGAAAAACAATTAAGTAACCGTACAATTAATGAGGGAAAATATATTAATCATAATGTTAATCACAAATTATGGCCGTTTAATTTTGAAAATAATTTAATTATTCAGATTTGATTTCTTTTGTAAACAAATTTCAATATTTTTCAGCATTTGAATATATATATATATATATATATATATATATATATATATATATATATATATATATATATATATATATATATATATTACAAATACATACAAATCATTAACCATTCCAATTGAATTATGATGCATTCAAGTTTTTTCCTACCATTCTCAAAGTTAATTCTAAGGAAAACCTTTATGAAATGAATAAATCTTCACAACCACCAAAATTTATCATGATGAAATAAAATCTCTAACTAAATTTGCTTAAAAAGACAAAAACTACACATTCGAATCCAACTTTTGATAAAATTAAGTTTTAAAATGTGAGTTTTATTCTTTGTATGTAATCTTTCTAACTTTCTTAGCTATAGTGTTAAAATGTGAGTTTTAAATTTTTTTTGTATGATACACTTATAACATTCGGGACAACCTATGCAAAATAATTCTTTTTTATGATTATTAATTTAGAAAAAAAAAGAGAGGCCATAAATATGTTATATGAAGAAAACTAACCATTATGTAATGTTGATTTAAAAAAAAAATATTTTTTTAAATGACCAATTAGTCCCGAATGGAACATCTTAAAAACGGGCCAAACCCATTTATGTGGTTCGATCCTATATAAAAGGGACCAAAAACTCATACGGAAATATAATTCTAGAAAATCTAAAAAATATTAGATTCCAGACCTCTTGCACCATCTCCATCAAAGTATTACTTTGAAGAAAAGCATAAATCCTACAAACTAGGTAAAATTGACATGTTTATCTACTTAGCTTTTATGTTTATATGTGTAAAGTACAAGTATGAAATATGAAGAACATCTATGGAATTCGAAGAACAAGTCTGTATATTCTTAGTATGCCTAGATTTCATTTCCCATAATTTATTTGTTAGAGTAGTTAGTAGGCTTGTTGGTAACTTGTATGTTGCTCGGACAACCTTAGAATTACACCATGGAATACCAACAATTGTTTGAAATAACATGATTTGTTCCAGAATGCAAAGTAATATTGATAATGACAAATCCATATATTAATTATTCAATTAGAAAGGGGTAACATGACCATCATTTGGTTTAGTATTTCCCATTTAGGTGGACCAGATGGATGACACATCATTTCCGTGCGGTATGTAGCTCGATACATTACACATGTCAAATAAATATGAACCATATGGTAACGACCATACATGTTTAATGACCGTGTTGTTGTTATCACGTGACCACACGATATAAATTATACAAAATAGAACTGAAAACGGTCCTTAACACCTTTCTTAATGTTGGTGAAACTCGATGGATTTGTTCATTCGTAAACTCGATGGATTTGACAAAGCTTTCTTCTCATACACTTGATCTGATGAACTCTTTTTCAAATGTTGGCAAAAGCAATTTTGAATTCTTAGTTTGTAAGTGAAGCGAAAGGAAACAAAGGATATGTAGTGCAAAGATTCTGAAATATGTGTCCATAATATACAATTCATAATATACAAAATGTACATTACGATGTCAGTCTTAAATTCACAACATTGGTCCGAAATATATATGCTGTTAGATTCCAAAATACATTTACGTCAAATCTCACCCCCAAGCGTATACGTATACGGTATACCAACTCTAAGATGTACGTAATTACTCTGATATGTGGCTTTCTCTACAAAATGCTCATTTTAAAAAAACAAAAAAATATGCTATTTTTGTTATATTCATTGAAAGGAAGGTGATACCACGCGCCGTAGAGTCGTAGCCTCGTAGGATTTATAAATGCTTATTAATTTAATAGTATCACAATCATTCCACTACGTGTAAACCCAATGTGTGCCCACTGCTCTGTCTCTCTCTCGCAGCGTAAACCAAACTGGAAGGAAAAACCACAGTATCCAATTCAATTTCGCATTTATGATTTGAAAACAACTTCTTTGATCACTTTTGATCGTCTCCACTTCAACTCTTTATACATTATACACACTTGTATACCTTACTGTGTGTTTGAATAGTGCATTCACAGATTTGAAATAAACTGACGATTGATTTGGGGTTTTCCTGGGAATTGTGGTAAAATTTCCTTTTCAGTGTCGTTCTGAGCTGCGAATTTTGTTGCTGAAGTTTAGGGAATTTGTTTGGCTAGATCTTATCGTCAACGGTAGGTTGTATGTCTATTGCATTATCACTATGGAATTTTGTTAGCTCATAATTCCATCATTGAATTTTCAAAGATTGTGATGATTTTCACGATAAGGCTGATGATGCTTTGCCTGATTGTTTTATATAAGTCGGTGAGTTCTGTTACGGGTGACTTTAGAGTAAAATTGACTATTTGAAAGTTGAAAATGAAAAGGATGCTTATCTGTTTTTCTTTTTTGTACGACATGAGCATGTGCAGGGGTATTTAACAAACTGTAGGAGGAAATTGAGTTAACTTAGGGTTTTGCTACATTGTTTCAGGTTGGTAGAGATGGAGGGCGGAATAAATCTTGATGCAACACTTGATTATGTTGAATTTCACACATTTCCAAGCCAGAACAGGTTATTTCCCTTTGAATTTTCATTTACAGATAATTGTTTTTCACCTGTTTACCGATTACTTTTTTACTGTTTCCTCTTGAATGGGCTGATGCTAGCAGCTCTTGAATTGATCTTCCTTCTGGACTATAACTTAGAAACTGAAGTGAAATATCAACATTTTGAATTTCTCACATTTCTATGTTTCATATCAGCCATGTTAAAATTTAGTGTACTTCACTTTTTTACTAAAATGAAAGTCCATCCATCCCCCCCTTTTGCTCTTATGGTAGGTATGAGGTAAGTGTATGGAGCAGCAACAAAGAAGAGAATTTAGCATCTGGACCCTTGAAACAACTGTTGTTACATTCACCTGAAACAAGAAATTTGTCCTCCAAAGACTCCAACACAAAGTTCAAGATTTTACCACCTGACAACATAAATGATGCCAGCTGGTTTACAATAGCCACACTGACAAGGTCCATATTATTATATGTATCTCAATTCCAATTTCCAAAGTTCTGAAAAGCTATCATTCTCTTTCTTCTCACTTTAGTTCATTTTAATTTGTTAGATTTCTACAAATTATTGGTTTGTCAGACGTCCTTAGCATTGGAAAAGAAATCTCTCAACTAGAGGGGACCAGAAATTTTATAATCTCATCATCTGATAAGTATGGTTCTTTTTGGCGTCCTTTAATTCCTTATGTTATGCTTTTTCTTATCAACATATGTTGTGGTTTCTTTGGATAGGAGTGAAATTCTGGTAGCAGTTGATTTGAGATTGACAGCATTGAAAGAGGAACTAGCTGCTGTGTTAAACAAGGCTATTAGTTCAAAATACTCACTTAAAGACATTTCTGACTTGGGAAACTTTGCTCTTCATTTTGGAGCCAAGGCTCTAGGGTATCTTTCTTTTTCTTAGATTCACGTATTATGATAATTTGGGACTTGAAGATTACTATTTAGTATTTTCTGCATGTACATGTTTCAGGGACTCATTGCAGAAGTCTGTTGAATTGAGCTCAATAGAAGATGAGGATTCAAGTGAGGAGGATGAACTGAATACTGAAAGAAGTCGTGGTGTTACAAGATCTTCAATGCCTAAAAGATCAGCATCTCCAATGAGAAGAATCCAGATAGGGCGATCTGGTTCTCGAAGAACAGCTGCATTAAGTATCAAGAGTCTCAACTATTTTCCAGGTAGGGAAAAGTCAACAATGCCCCTAGGAGATGATGAAGAGGAAGAGGAAGAAGATTCACACAGACCTGTTAACAACAATGTATTGAGAATGAGTGTACAAGATAAAATCAGTCTGTTTGAAAGCAAACAAAGAGACCAAGGTGTAGTAAATGTTCAGAAGACAACAAAGAGTGCAAACAAAGCTGTACTTAGAAGATGGAGTTCAGGAATGGGTGAAAAAGGGACTACTTTAAGCAGCCCCAAAAATATAGATCCAGATGTCAAAACAGAGACTGATAATAATAATAATAATAATTCCAATACTGAAACTTGTCCTGAAAAGGGAACAACATATGAGGAGTTGGGTGTGGAAGCTGAGAAATTTGAACAAGCTGAAAGAGATGATGAATGGAGTCAAGAAAAGGGATTTAATGATCAAAATGTGACAAGTGATGATAGCAAAATAAAGATTTCAAAGGAGCAGAAAGGCGAAGTTTACGAGGATCATGATAATAAAAAAAGGGAAGAAAAGGTCCAAAAACAAGGTGCTAGAAAGAGAGTTGAGAAAAGCTCCAGTACCAATGTGAGTGGTGCTAAATCTAATGGAAGACATCAACAAAAAACTCAAAAGAACACAGCCCAATCCCAGTTGATAAATTCCAAAACCACCATGAAACCTTCTGCAATCAAGAAATCTACATTAAACTCATCTTCTTTGCCTACTACACGAAAGTCACCACAACCTGCAACTAATCGAAAACCTGAATCTCCTGCATCATCAAAAGTTGAAAATTTACAGCCACGGTTGAAGACTGTGAAGTCAACAAAACCAGATGGGAACACGAGAATTAGAGCTACGAATATTGAGAAGAAACATCCCACATCGACTGAAAACAAAAAGACAACAACAAGAAGAAGAACCAAAGTTGAGACCCCTAAAAAAAACAGTGTGGTTCCAGTAGTTGAAACAAAGCCACCTTTCCTTCGTAAGGGTTCTAGGGTCGGCCCTGTTGCTGGTGGTGTTATAAAGACACGAGGAGTTGTATCACTATCACAACAGCCTGTCGAAACTTCTAGAACCGAAGCCACAACTACAAGGAATGTTGATATAATGATTATAAATCATGATATGATGGAAAGTAGTGATCAAAGTGAAACTCCAAAAACTAATTTTGTGGAACCCGAGGTGGTTGAATGTGAGCAATCAGACAAGTTGTCATGTGATGGTGATTTAGGGGTAGAAATAGAAGAATTGTCTGGTGTGAATGTGACAGAAGAACCCAAAGTAGAAATTTACGCAGAGAATCGTGAAAATGAGATTGTTCCGTACAAGGAAAGCCTAGTGCTGCCACGTGTTCGCCATTCCTTATCTCAGATGATGCTTGAGGAAAGCAATGAATCCGAGTGGGGTAACGACTCCCACCCTCCCACCCTAGTCTACCAAAAGGACGCACCCAGAGGATTAAAGCGACTTTTGAAGTTTGCTAGAAAAACAACTAAACCTGATTCACAATCGCATTCAACTCATTGGTCAAGCCCAGAAGGAGAGGATGATACTGACGAATCTAAAGGTAAAATTAATAAAAGAGGCTACTTATTTTATTTTATTTTATTTTATAGATTCCAATATTGTGTCGTGATTTTGCTTTTCAGCAACAAGGTCATTCTTCTCTCTTTCAGCGTTCAGGGGGAACAAGATAAATGAGACCAAGATTCTTCATCGCTAAAACTTATCACAACAACTGTAAATCATACATTCGATCAGCCCCTTCCCCTTTACAGCTGAATTCAATTCAAGGGTTATAATCATATTATATTATCTTGTGGTTATTAAATCTATATTTCATTTTTGTGGTAATTGTGGGTGTTGTAGGGTACAATGTTGAATAAGTTAGGTTGTGCGTTTCAAGGGTTAATTATGTGGGATCTTGATACTATTAATTGTTATATTATAAATTTACAATTACATGCCCTTTTGTTGATTTGATGTCTCTTTTTGGTTGACCAAATGCAAAGGATGAAATCTTATCGGTCCCTGCAATAAAAGGACTTGATTTGCTTTTTAAATTTTAAGGGATGTTGTTACAACTTATTTAAATGGCTCAGTTGATATTGAGATTCATCAATTGGTACTCAGATTTATATGAACTCCCCCAAGGATTTAAACCACTCAAAGCAACTAGCAAGTTATTTGAGAACATGCTTAGATCAAATTGAAAGCATTCTTATATGGAAAGAATAACTTAAAAATATTGAGGCAATTTACATCCATATACTTAAACAAACCATCAAAATACCATACCATAAATGTATAAATATAGCCATAGTGAAATAAGTCTAACAATCACTCACATCTAGCAAACTAAATTAAACCGGGTTACTAATCGTGACTGACAAAATAACAAATATAAGATACAAAATTCTATGGCCTGATGTACACAACCTGATATCTGATAACCTTTTATAAAAGAAGACCCTCATTAAAACCTTAAACTGCATACGCCACAAACCACACAAGCATAAAGTTGAGAGTTCATGGTTTTATTACATTATTAAACATGGAATTGTCTTTGAGAAAAATGTTGCTCAATTTATATTTTTTACATCGAGGTGTAAGGTAAACATGTAATAAGTTGCGTCATTAACCTTTTCTCGATGACAAAACTAATTTTTTAAAGATCACATTCTAAAACTTGGGATCATAATACTAATACGCATAACCGGTTGGACTCCATTAAAGAGCTCCACACCATGTGACTCAAGGCAACCAAATGTATCAAACACGAATAATATATATATGTGTTGATTTTCCATATACGTTTTCTCATATTTTTCACTTTGCATGAAACAACTTTTATTACAGTCCGCCCCACAGTGAAATCTCATTCCTCAAGCCTACGAGAGAGCAAACTCTTATTAGATCTACACATGCGTGTTCCCTCCCTATCCATCCAAAAATCAAAACATCAATTGGTGTAAGTGTTGATATTAGCATGCCTAAATACATCAAAAAGAAAGTCCTTAACAATATTTTGTTAGTACTTGAATCCCGAGAGCACTCTAGAATGTATTGCATGTTCCCCAAAAAGTCCAAACATTTCGTGCAATAAACTTAACATATCTCATCAACCGGAAATAATTGAATCATGATGTCATACTTAAGGATAACATGATACTCCACTGGTGACATATGTTGTCAGTGCCGAGATTAATATATGCTAAGGTGGGGCACTTGACCCACCTAAATTTAAAATTTTTACAAGTTATATATAAAAATATTTAGGACATATCTTAAATATTTTAAGGGACCTACCTTAATGTATTTGTTTGGATGAAAAAAGTATAAACTAAAAATAATAAAAATCATATGATATTTTGTGGCATGAAAGAGTCACATATCGACTCAAAAAAAATGGTGATGTGTTTTTATTATAAATAACTATTTCTCATTTCATGCTTCCACACCATAAGCTTGGCAATGCATGGTTTAAATCGCCATACTCCAAGTATAAATTGATTTTAGTAAAAAGAAAAAAAAAATTAAGGAATGACTGACTTAGGTTCGGTCCTTTCACCATCAATTTTATACATACCGAATTGGTTGTTTTTTCGGTTGACCTGATTTTTCTCTTGAACCGGCCCGCTTGAACTCAGTCAGGGAACCACGTGATTTTCAGCTCTAGACTCGCTACTGTATGTTGTCCAAGACCATCTATAAGGAAATCCATATAAAATGTAGAGCAATGCTCATAAACACTAAAATACTGCTTTCTATATACTTCATATCTTAGATAATTTTATTAAAAAATACATTCATCAATAAAAACATGGAAACATATATTCTCTTGTCAATAAACATTTTCTCAAACCTAATAAGAATTAAACCCTCACCCGATCCATCACATGACATCATCAACATGTGGGGGTTTTTAATGGCATCAATGGTGGAATACACAAACTAAGATCGCCCACGGTAGTGTAATGCCGTTTATCTTTCAGACGTGCCAGGTGAAATTTTGTAATAATCTCTACAAATTAAAAAAAAGTTCCATTTTTGACTCTATTGTTCTATATTCTTTTTCTTGGCTTAAATGTAAAGCTTCCAAATCCGATGTATCTTGGAATGCTTGACTTTTAAAACCGTTGTAATTGATGGATTTTTCTTATTCTACCGTTTTGCTAGAATATGCCTAATATATGACTTTGTATTTGTTACAAAAAAACGCTAATATCTAACCTTTTATAAAATTGGTCTCACTGCAACTCAACAACTTTATATTTTGTAACAAATATCTTAATAATTCATAATCAATAGTTATTTAATAATAAATTAACATCAATATATTATTTATAATTAAATTGAAAAATATAAATTTAAATACAAACAAAACATTACATAATTATCCTTTGACAAACATTTAATTGAGAGGGTTTAACGATAATCGGTAAAGGACACACCATGATGGATTTTTTGCAACAATAACCATGAGAACGAATCGTATAAATTTTGAAAATTTATTAGTGCCAACGATAGGAGACCAAAACTATAATTTACTCTTAAATGATATATCTTCCATCATGTCCTCAATCAAGACGACAATTTTCGTGGAATAGCCTTTTAGTACGTTTAATAGACATCAAGCCCAAAGCGTTTCTTTATCTTTCCCTTTCTTTGTATTAATTGTATTCATAGTATTGCAACTTTATAAATAGGAAGGATGTACTTTGATCAACACACGTCATTAATAAATCTCTCTCTCTCTATATATATATATATATATATATATATATATATATATATATGGGAGAGCTAATGTGAAAATATAAAAATTTTGCGAAAATGCGAAAATGAAGAGAACCTATTAAATTGTGCCACATTGGTCTTGTATTTTGATTAAATTTCTAATTTTAAAGTTAGGTTTGAAGGACATAAATGTAATTTAATAAACTGACTGCATTTAACTTCTAAAGTCAGTTTTCTTCTTTGTTTAACCGGCATGTGTGAAACACATTTTTATATCAAGAATTTAACCCTTTTTTTTCGAACTTTGGATTAAGCTTGTGTGTTTAAATACCACTCACACAAACTTTATCTTCTCAAATTTGTAAAGTCTTCATACTTTGATAAAGATATCACTAACCTGAGAGTTCTTGCAAAAATGCTAATATAATACAAAATAAATAGAAACAATTACAATTTAACACATCATTCTTATGTTTATTAACTAATATAAAACTTTATATAATCATAAAGGATATGTACATAATTTTCAATAGTAACTATATCCACACTTTCACAATTTTTTACTTTTATAAACCGACTACATACATAACTTCCACAAATTCCTCTATAATTTCATCTTCATCTTCATCTTCTTATTCTTCTTGCTCCATAATAACTAATTGATCATTTAATAAAAACACAACTAAAAAGGAGTTTAATTACTTCAGAAGGATTTTCATATTCAATGTCTTCTTTTACTTCAGATTCACCTTAAGTTCCCAACACCTTTTTTCCATTTCTTCTATTTTCTTCCGTCTCTGTTCAAAGAAAGATTACTCTTTTATATAAGAATTATCTGGAGATAACCTGAAGGTAATAATGAAGAAGAGGTTTTTGATCAAGAAGTTATTGAATACACTCAATTGAACGAATTCCAGCAAGGAAAGAAACCACCTAATCTTGACATTCAAAGAGGAAATATCTAAAATAAATTTCATGTCGGATACCTAAGTGACTGTAGCAGTGTTGTACAAATCAAGTAAACTAAAGCAAACAAAAGAAATCAGTAAAAGTTTAAGATGGAAGCCATTAAATATTACTCTCTATAGCTAGAGAATCCATCTATCCAGTTAAATTTTCGATGATCCAAATTCCAAAACCACAAACTATATAGAAAATTGGCATGGAAAAAAATACACTTGAATTTAGAAAAATGTAGTAATTGATTGAATAAATAAGTGCATATACAACAGATCTCAAGAAATGCAACATTCGATTGAGCGATATTGGACAAAAAACAGTAGAAATCAAAAAATGCAGCATTTGATTGAGTGAAGTAAGGCAAAGAAACAACATAATCTATTAAAAAAAAAACACCAATCAATTTGAGAGAATTAGGGAAAAACTAGAAGGGAAAAAAACAAGAATCAACTAAATCCAAAAATGCAGCGACTGATTGCGCATATTAAAGGATAAAAACAAACGTATGGTGTAATTAAAATAGAAAGAAAAAAAAAAAACGTTAGAAGCTTACCAGTCGATGATTGCATCATTGCATCTAGTTGTTTCCTTTTCCATGATGAGCACCAAATTGAACTTAAATTAACACTTGATCAAAATAAAACTTTTCAAGAACGTGAACGATCAAACCAAATTTTTTTTTGGAGCAGGAACTTTAATAAAAGAAACTAACACAGGGTGAGCAAGAACCTGAGAAATTACATAGACAAATTATATTTCACAGTTAAATTAACGAACTAAAAACCTATATATGTGCATCATAATTTCATCTCCTATCTCCTTCTCTCTTATATAACACAACACAGAAATCAAGTGAAAATCCACAAAGAAAGAAGAATCGGTTATTAATAAGGAAAAGAACAAAATCAGAATCAGGTATTAATAAGGAAAGACCGAAATCATGTATGAAAAAGGTGAAGGAATAAGAGAGATATGTGAGGGGATGATGTGATCGCAGCTAGCAAAGCTTTGATTCCTATTGATATTGGCCACCGTCACTCAAAAGTGCCTCAATTTCACTTTGTTTCGTGTGGGAGCCTTTTGCGTTTTTTAATCAGGCATGCAAAGTTATAGACTAGGGTTTTGTTAGAGAGGAGAAAGGCGGAGGTTTGTAGTGGTGCGTTATTAGTGGAGGTGGTGACTGAGAGAGAAGATGAACAGTGGTGGGTGGTTGTTGGGCGCTAGGGTTAGAGAGAAGGGAGCAGGTACCGTGTCTCTTGAATTTGTCGAG